GTGAAAACTCACTCCTGCAAGCTCTGCCCTTGCTCACGGGTCTTGAGATCCACTGAGCTCCCCTCGCAGGGAGTGGGGATCCACACCCTGAGTGGCTGAAGTCAGTCTGTTCACCCATTCATTTACAGGTGACGTGGTGGGTTAGGCATTGTTGAACTGCTAGCCACAAGCTTGGTGGTTCAAACCCAACAGCCGTTCCACTGTAGAAAGAACGAGGCTATCATGGAAGCTTTCCACCCCCAGAAAGCCGGACAGCCTCAGGAACTCTGGAGAGGGCTGCTGTGAAGGGGAATGGACCATGGCAGTGGGTTTGGTTTATGGCAAGAAAGGGGTCCTGCTTTGTGCTCAGATATTAAATGAAAGGTTGGCAGTTTAAAGACCCCCCAGGAGCTCCTCAAAAAGAAAATCAGATGATCAGCTCGCCAAGGGTCCCAGCCATGAAAGCCAGATGGCGTGTGGCTCTGCTCCATGGCCCACAGGGCCACCAAGAATGGGGCTTGACCGGACGGCAGTCAGTAATGGTCATAACTTGAAGAGGAAAGAGCTGGCTTCTCAGCGTTGCTGCTGCATGCAGCTGAGCCAAATCCAACTCATGCAGACCCTGTGGGACAGACTACAGCCATCCCACAGTGCTCCCGAGCTGTCCTAGTTACAGAGGGCAGACCTGCGTCGTCTTTCTCTGCAGGACGGCTGGACAGCCCAGCGCTGGTCATTGCAGATCAAACATCGGAACAAACACAAGCCCAAGCCCATGGCTGTTGAGTATATTGCAACTCACAGTGACCCCTGGTGGCGGAGCACAACTGCCCTAGAGGGCTCGCCTTGATGGGGCCAGATAACCAGGTCTTCTGCGGAATGGTTAGTGAGTTCAAACTTACGACCTTCCGGTTGGCTGGCAAATCCTTATCCATGGTGCTACCGGGGCCCCTTGTTCTAAATACAGACAGTGATGACACAAATTTGGAATACTCGCTACTAGGACGATGATTACATTTGATTGATAGATAAGGAAACGAAAGGGCAAAGAGGTCGTTTTTAGCCACAGTGCAACCAGACAGTTGGCGAGGCTGAGCAGGAGCCAAGCATTTCAGCTGGGCATCCCTGCCCCAGGCCTGTTCCAGGTGCCAGCATCTGGCTCTAAGTCACAGTGCTGCTGTGAGCCAGGGCTTCTCTGCCCGTTCTTCAGGGGGCCTCACAAATGCTGCAAAGGTAGGGGTGTTTCCTCCACTTCATCGATGAGCTCTCAGGGGCCT